GTCGTTGCAAAAATCCAACTCTCTCTTTTCAGATTTGAACGATCGATCCCGGTTCTTAGATCGGAGAAGATGACTACGTTTAGCGGCGATGAAACTGCTCCGTTCTTCGGCTTCCTCGGCGCAGCGGCCGCCCTCGTCTTCTCCTGTAAGCATTGCCTCTTCCTCAACTTCGTATCAATCCGTTTGATCTGACCGTAATTCCTTGTTTCTGGTAACACCGAATGAGATTCATATGATTTCTTAGCGAATTTCGGAGAGAATGAGTCACATTTCTGTGAATTACCCTGTTTTAGATGCTACTTTGTATCAGATCGTTTGGTTAATTGATTGCAGGATTAGTATTTTTAGGTTGGATCGTTTGCTATTATTTACTTTACATTCCCTGAAACATGGAACACATTTGGGGTTATTAGGTATGGGAGCTGCTTATGGAACTGCAAAGAGTGGTGTTGGTGTAGCTTCAATGGGAGTGATGAGACCTGAATTGGTTATGAAGTCTATTGTCCCTGTGGTTATGGCTGGTGTTTTGGGTATTTATGGGTTGATTATTGCTGTTATCATCAGTACCGGTATCAATCCCAAGGCTAAGTCTTATTACCTCTTTGATGGATACGCACACCTCTCGTCCGGTCTTGCTTGTGGTCTTGCTGGTCTCTCAGCTGGTATGGCCATTGGAATTGTTGGAGATGCTGGCGTCAGGTTTGTTCCTCCTTTGCGACTATGATTCGTAATGGAGAATGTTGGTATTGGGTGAATGGAACTTGACTTGTTTGGTTTTTGGAATTTATCGCAGGGCAAATGCTCAGCAGCCTAAGCTCTTTGTTGGGATGATTCTTATTCTTATCTTTGCGGAAGCACTTGCTCTCTATGGTCTCATCGTAGGCATCATCTTATCCTCTCGAGCTGGCCAGTCCCGAGCAGAATGAGAGACGATAAAAATGTCGAAATTTCAGGTACTTGTTTACGGATCAACTTCTGTGTGCGGTTGGGAGCTGATATTTTGTGGATTCTTGGAAAGAAGATTGGTTGTCACTTCCCTTTCCTCGAGTGTAGGATGTTATTGTTTGGTTCGGTAATAAGAGAGCTCTGTATTCTTCTATCGTTCGCATTTGTCTTGAATAAACCTGATGCTATTTTGTTTGTAAAGAAGTTTGCTTCTGAAACCATTTTGAAGTGTTATGAGATTCATCTTTGGTGTGTCTTTGCAATTTTGATTTTTAAAGATAGATTAGCTTTTAAAGGTGAAGAAAACATGAATTACGGAGGTGGTTAATGAACATATGAAAACATAATATCCATTTGAATAGAGGATGGATTAAACTGTCTCATATTAGTGTATCCAAGAGGGACGATGGACGGCAATATCTTATTAGAAACTCAAAAGAAAATTGGTGGTGAGAATTTTTTTGTATGATCTCTCAAATTGTAAATTCCTAATGTGTTTTGTTTATTTAATCGTATTCATGATGATCTAATAATGGAGATTTGTATATGATACTAGTAGTAATCCATAAATCGAAATCAATAATTCATCTACGATGATATGTCCATGATACATGTCTAAAGTTGTTTAACAAAAAAAAAACATGTCTAAAGTTTTAGTTAGAATTTATTTTTAACTTGGAAAAGTGCTTCGAAATGGAAATTACCGTGAAATAAACCAAACATGACTATGCTCACTTCACGCTTAGAGCATCCACATTGAGACATTTTGTAGATGTCTTTAAATATAAAATTATTAAAAGTTGAATAAAAGGAAGAAAAAGAGTATTTTTGGTTGAAATAATGGGGTGTATTGAAATATAAAATTAATAAAATTTGAGTAAAAAGAGGAGATAGTGGGTATTTTTGGAGAGAGAATGTCTCGTGGAAGACAAAGTTGGAGAGAGAATGGATGAAAGTTGGAGTGTGTTTAAATATAAAATTAATAAAAGTTGAATAAAAGGATGAAAGAGAAGGTATAAAGTTGAGTAAAACGAAGAGAGAGTGTTTTTAATATTTTTTTATTTAGAGACATCCACATTTTGTGTGCAATGTGGATGGCCTTACCGAAGGAAGAAACTGGATAGAAGAGCATGAAAGGTCATCATCACCATCCAGAGAGGCCTACAGGAAGCAATTAGCCGAGACTATGAATCTGAATCGAAGTCGCATTCTCGCCTTTAGGAACAAACCATCTACTCCAGTCCAACTGCTTCCCAGGGATCATCACTCTGCTTTTCTTCACAAACAACCTAAATCCGTGAAGCCTCGAAGACGCATTCCTCAGGATCCTGAGAGAACGTTGGATGCGCCTGACATTCACGATGACTTCTACCTCAACTTGCTCGATTGGGGCAGTGCTAATGTTTTAGCCATAGCGTTGCGTCACACTGTTTATCTCTGGGATGCTTCTACTGGCTCTACATCTGACCTTGTGACCGTTGACGAAGAGAAAGGACCTGTCACGAGTATCAACTGGGCACCTAATGGTCGTCATCTTGCGGTTGGGCTCAACAATGCGGAACTGCAGCTGAGGGATTCTGTAACAAACCGTCTAGTGAGAACATTGAAAGGTTGCCACCACTCGAGAGTAGGATCATTGGCGTGGAACAATCACATCTTGACAACTGGAGGAATGGACGGACAGATCATCAACAACGATGTGCGGATCAGGTCACACGTTGTGGAAACATACAGGGGTCACACTTAAGAGGTTTGTGGGCTCAAGTGGTCTGAATCAGGGCAGCAACTAGCTAGTGGTGGCAACGACAATCTGGTACACATTTGGGACCGTTTCAGGACTACGCAATGGCTCCACCGATTCAGGGAACATATGTCTGCAGTCAAAGCTCTGGCCTGGTGCCCTTTCCAAGGAAATTTGCTTGCAACCGGTGGTGGCGAACAAGATAGGGCGATAAAGTTCTGGAACACTCACACAGGGGCTTGCTTGAATTCAGTAGACACTGGTTCCCAAGTTTCTTCCTTGTTATGGAGCAAGAAGGAAAAAGAATTGCTTAGCTCACATGGGTTTTCACAGAATCAGCTTACGCTCTGGAAGTACCCATCCATGGTGAAAATGGCTGAGCTCACTGGTCATAGTTCAAGAGTTTTATATATGGCACAGAGTCCGGATGGTTGTACCGTAGCTTCAGCAGCAGGAGATGAAACCCTGAAGCTCTGGAATGTTTTTGGAGTACCAGAGGCTCCCAAAACACATGCTCCAAAAGCAGTTCCTGAGCCATTTTCTCATGTGGATCGTATTCGTTGAAACCGTGAATACTACTAGGTAAGCCATTGATGTTTAATCTATTCGTGTTCATTAACTGTATCAGAGAGAGAAAAAACGTATGTAAATAGTTTAATTTCATTCATCAACGTTGTTGAGTCAAACTTTAATCCTCGTAAACATTGAATAGAAAGATTTTTATTTGACATTTTAGTGGATACAAAAAAACTTTAAAGTACAAGTAGCTTTGTATTAGCATTTTTTATTATTATTTTTTTTCTAAACAATTTTGATTTAGCATTTGGGAATTTGCTTTTTAGAACTTCAGGTTTAGGAATAGTTGGTCTATGAATTTAAGTTCAGACTTAAATCCCCCAGATGCTTGTTTTAATTAGAAGCAGGAGAAGAAGTACCATAAGACTTAAGAATCGCAAGGAAAAACTTCAGCATTGAAGCATAAAACATCGAAAAGAGTTTTGATTCAGTATGCATCATAACTCTTAAAACGTCTTAAAACGTTTTAACAATCATAACTTTCTTTTTTATTAGCGTGGGATCTCAACGGTTTTCTAGACCGAAAGACTAATCCTACATGGTTCACGTTCCACCACCCATTTTTCTATGGTGGCCAGGAATCGAACACAATCAGAACTCTTGAAACGTCAAGTAGTAGTGAGTGACAATGTAAAGCATAAAACCAATAGTCTAAAATCCAATAAACATAAAAGAAATTAAAATCTCATTCTCTACGGATCATAGCAGTCCCTTATTTATCTTAATTATAAACGAGATCAGAGTGGGAGATAAGAAACATCAGCATTAGCTTGTATTTGAGCAAGAATAGTAAAATGTCCAATTTCGAACTAAGACATTGTTAATTGTTTAATACTTGAAATATCTCACAAAAACTAAACCGATTTATATTATGGCTAAGATGAAAATTGGTTGGTAAAACTAGCAGCTCCAAGCTTAAGTTTGACCAGCTCTTGGTCAAGGTTGCCTCTAAATCGAAATTTTCCATTCTCACAAAACATTATCAATTTTGCAAATGTATATTTTTCTACTTTTTGAGATTTGAATTTAATTGTGTTTGACAAATATCTGAATTATTATAGTTCTGTAGCACTTATCAATCTCTAGTGAAATGCATCGAACTTCATATAATACATATATCATGAGATAAATACTTTTTTTTAAATTAATCAATAAACATATGATTTAATTGACCCAAACAAAAGAAAAGAAAGGAATAAACATGTGGCTGAGGAGGAGCGTTACGATTTTTGGAACACAAGTCACACCAACGTCCACGTACGTGATGCTTTTTCATTATTAATGGAATCCACTTGTCCTTTTGTGACAAAAAAAAAAAAAAATGGAATCCACTCGTCCAAGAGTAACAACACTTTTGAGTTTTGAACC